TATGGTCCTGGGATAACACAGTGAGGTGTACACATTTATTAGTATATTTATTTTGGGCCAAATAGATAACCTCTCTTCAGCTTCCCACTGGATCTTCCCTTTGTGGGGTGTACAGTCAGTTGCTACTTGCTCTAGCAAACTTCTGTTCTGAGATAGTCACAGCCAACTTGGAGATTTCAGAAGATTCTAAGATTGGAAGAGAACTCTCATCATTCTGGCTTGCTGTTTCATGCATGCTTTAAGGCAGTAGTTCTGAAAGTGTGAGCCCATTAAAAATTCATGCTGATGTCCACCAGAAGGGCCCTACTACTCAGCAGTGTGTCTCCCCTCTTTCACTCCCTCATACCCTATTGCATTCCACAACTGTTATTCCAAACCTTTTCCACATTCCTCAGGCCCTCTCTCTTCCCCCTCCCCCCAACTCCTTTGCATCTTATCATCTTTCCTTCTACTTTGTGGCAGTTGAGAGACACCCAAATTCCTCCATCCATCTTCCCTTTACCTTTAAAAGACTTCAATACCAACAATTTTTATTCAACTCGAATGTAATCCTTATTGTCACCTATTGTTAGTACTTTCTTGTCAGAAGATCACTTCCCTCACCTGGGCTCTTATTTCCATTTCAACACACTTCTGAGAGTGTCCCACCAATCACTGTTACTCTCATACATTTAGTATCCTTCCTTTACCCTTTTCTTAGATGCTCAGTTCTTCACTTTCCTTCTCCAAATATTTATTAAGGAAGTTAAAAAATATCTGCCAAGTTGAAAGAAGTATGTAATAAACTACCATTTACCCATCAAATAACTTCAATAATTATTGAAATTTGCTAGTTGGAAACATCTTCCTTTGGTGCTGTGCCTACTTCTTGGCCTTGTCTGGCCACAGAAAGTTCATCAGAGACACCTTTGGTGACTAAATCCAAGTGGCCATTCTTAGGCCTCATTCTTCTCTGACTTCTCTATAGCATTTCACTCGTCTTGAGGCTCTTCCCGCTGAGCAGCTGGAGTCACACTGGTTATCAGTGGAAGGACTTTGGAAGTCAACATTGGAACTTTCAGGGCTACATCTATTTTCCAAACTTAACACCGTGTCAGAACTCATTTTACCTCTGCCTGAGAAATGGAGATGGGACACTCCTTAAAGATAGTGAACAGTCATCATCCTCTAGAAACTTCCATTCTTCACTGTATCTAGTATGATGACTTTACTTAATTGAAGAACCATAAAATATTAGCTGATAATGGTGATAATGATAATGCTTCCACTCCCATAGAACCATGAAACCAGATTGTGGAAAACACAAGATATAATCATTTATTTACTTCTTGAACCCATAGTCTTTATTTCCCTTTTTATTAACCATACTGCTAATTACTACCTAAGCTTCAAAGGCTGGAATTTTCATCATTTTATGTTTCCTATGTAATTTTGAATGCATTTTTAAATTAAACTTAATGCTTAAGAATATACATTCATCACCTGTTCACTATTCAGTTGAGTGCTTCTCCATTGTACAAGTGTAGCTGACACAATGGGGTTAGTGGTGTGGCTTAGGGGTAGGGCAGGGAGGGGGAGGAGAGGTCAACCTACCTGATTTAAGCACGTATTTTCTCTCTCAAAATACAAAGCAAACACCTGAAAAATGACATCATATTGAACATTTTCTGGCAAACAGTTTAAACACGTATGTTTGAGACTAAGGTGTCATACACAGAAAACATTCCTTGCACTTTCTTTCTCCCATGTGTACATGCTGGCTAAGGGTCCACACGTGGGCCACAGTCTCACAGACACCAGGGTTTGCAGGGGCCTTCCTCTCTCTACATTCAGGACACCTTCATGTTCGCATTCCTGTGAGTTCAGCTCCTGGTGCCTTCAAAAGCTGCTTATGGGCCTCGTGGTTCATCCACTATCTGTAGAGCAAGCAAAAGACAAACAAACAAAAAAAAAACCCTAAGAAATCCTGAAAACCTCTGTGGCTGAAGGGATCTATTCTCTGAAATTTATGCTTTTTTTTTAGCATCATTTTGAATGAAACTATCTTCTCAGCCTAACTGAGGAGTGTGTGACTTTGAGGTTAGCCTCCCTTCAATTCTTTTGAGAAACCTGGGTGGGTGTAATAAAAAGAGTTCCCAAGTACAAGTTCTGGCTCTACCACTTAATAATTGTGACCCTTGAGAAATCACTTAACCTCTCAAAAGTTGGTCACTTCATCTGTGAAGTGAGATAATTGTCTATCAAAGGGTAAAGGAGAAGATGTAGGCCAAGGACACAGCACAGAGTAGATTCTTCTGTCTATGTGGACCATAGATACTATGGTCAGGTTTTATTTTAGGTGCTAGGGATTTGATGCTGAACATCCTGTTCTCAAGAAGATTGCTATCTAGTGGGCATTGATCATATATAACCTTCCCTTCCTGTTTTTCCCCCTTTCTTTTTCTTATTAAAAATAAGAACATCTATAATTATGCCGGGTATACAATATTGTAGAGAAACTGATGCTCGTGGTGTTCCAGCCAAGCCAAGATCTGCCTCTATTTGACAGAGTCAAGGTAAGTGACTTTTATCCAGAGCAGTAGGAAATAGCCCTTCTCCTTGACTTACTACCTTTATTTTGGCAGAAAGAGACTAGGAAACCCGTGCCACAGGGTAAATCGTGTTACTTGTGTTCATCTCCTAGGCCTAGGATCTTCACCCCACATTAGGCGTCAGTTCCTGATGGTAGGACACCGGAAGGTAGGCCAGGTCTCTCAAAAGAATTTGGAAATCATATAAAATGTCCAGAGTTGAGAGTGATTGGAATCTAAATTAAAATTTTCAAAATCACTGGGCAGGTAAACAGAACCTGTTAGAAATCACAGTTCTGTTGATGACATTTGCTGCATGGCCCTGGTAGCGCAGGTCCTGGGCTTATTTTGACCAAATGTGGGAAGACCAAGTGTCAGAATCAATATTCATCCAAAATTGAGGCCAAAGCCAAATCGACTTCATAGAACAAACATGAAAGATATTAGAAATGTATCCAAACCTGAAATATTTCCAGCAAATATATTATCATTACAGTTTTAATATGTGAACTTTAAATAGACTGAATTTAGAAGTCTGAGTAGCATCAGATCAGCAACTACTCAGTGAGTAGTGAGCATCTGCTAGGTTGCTATAGCAGCAGCCAGTATTCTGCACATTCATAACACTGAATAGATAGATGCTCATTTTAACTGAAGCTGGTGGAGAAAAAAGATACTTGGAGTTACCTCACTATTATCTAATAGTTGCTTTTTTCGTGATAGCATTTCTTTTTTTAAGTAAAAATTGCATATATTTAAATTGTATAACATGACAGTTTTATATACATATACTTAGTGAAATTACTACAATCAAGCTAAATAACATATTATCTCCTCACATAATTACGTTTATTTTTGTCATGAGGGCACCTGAAATCCATACCTGTAGCAAGTGTCCTGTCTACAATACAGTATGATTAACTATAGTCATCATGTTGTACATCAGATCTCTGGACTTACACCCACATAACTGCAACTTTGTATCCTTTGACTGACATCTCTCCATTTCCCTGCCCTCCCCCACTCTCCAGGCCTAGTAACCACCATTCTACTCTCTGTTCTTATGTATTCAAGTTTTTTAGGTTTCACATATAAGTAAGATCATGCAATTGTATTCTTTCTGCATCTGGCTTATTTGACTTACCAATCTTCAGGTTCATCCATGTTGTTACAAACGGCAGAATCTTTCTTTTTTTTTAAGGCTATATTTTATTGTATATAGATTCACAAGATATGGAATCATAGCATTATCTTGTCTAGATCAAAGATGATTTCATAGATGTCATTGTATAATTTTGGAGTTTCTCCCAAGCATAATATTTTGAAGTGATTTAAAGTTTTCTTTATGATTTGAATTCATCTTTCCAATATGCAAATATATCTAATTAGGGCTTTTTCTTGAAAGATGCATTTGACTGTTTGCCTGTATTTGAAAGGATATATTCAGATATAAGCTGTCTGGATGACATACCATGCGGTAGCAAATTCTTTTTTCTAATCGTGACTTATTTCACTTTGCATAGTACACTCTCAGTCCATCCATGCTGTCACAGATGGTAAGATTTCATTCCTTTTTTATGGCCAAGTTGTGTTCCACTGCATATATGTACCACTTATTTTTTTAACCAAAACACCTTTATTTTTCTTCCACCAAAATGGAGGTGTAGGTGGAAACACTTTGCTTCCTCACACAACCAAATCTAAAAACAACAAAGTTTTTACAATAATAAATGCAACCAAACCACAGAAAATCAAACAATACAGAGTCCAAAAACAATGAACCGCTCAGCTAAACCGGTGAGAGGGGCGAAGCCAGCAGTGGAGCAGATCAGGCAAGAACGATCCCCCCCCAACCTGGGTAGTGCGGGAGCGGCTGATGGCTTGGATCCCAGCTGTGGGGTAGCTACGAGAAGGCGCGGTGCGGCTGTCAGTCTGAGGTTGTGCATTTGCACACAGATGAACCAGTGAAGAGACGTGCATTGAGACAGACTGTGCAGGCCCTGGCGCTGGGCTGCAGGCTTGCAAATTTGCACTCAGATAAACAGGAGGGGGCAAGCAGTGAGGCAGATCCAGTGATAGGTGAGGACCACCATTGCTCCCTCTCTGACCCCACCCCCACATACAGCGTCACAAACCAGCGACCTGGGTGGCCCCGCCCTAGAGAACACCTAAGGCACCTCTCCTCATATGTAACAGGCACAAACAGATCAAAACACCTTTATTTTATTCTTCAAAGAACAAACTGTTCCCTTTTTTCAAGATAAACATGATTAACTCACAAAAATGGCATTTACAATGTCTCTTTAAAGCATTTTCCTTTAATAGGAAACTTAGTTTCACAGAATGCAGACATTGAAAGGTTTTTTAAAAATTCTATTTCATTGTCATTCTAAGACAAAACAGAATCTAGCATAAATCAAGAAAATCCATTCATGTTTCAGATCCTTCTCCTCCAGGAAGCAGCATTATTACAATATTCCCATTTATCAAAATATGGTCTAATTTAGTAATCTTTCTTCCTACTGGTGTGACTTCAAACTCAGTGACATCTTCCAGTAATGTATTGACAAAGTCATCAAATCCCAGAAGGTTGCCAGCAATTTCCTTATCACTCTTCATCATGATGTGAAGTCTTGATCTTATACACTTGTGCACAAGCTGTAAAGGCAGCAGCGTCTGCAACGGGTTACTAACTACTGTAGCATTTGCTACTATGGTGACACTGGAAGTGTACCACTTCTTCTTTATTCATTTGTCTATTGATGGACACTTAGGTTGCTTCCATATCTCAGCTATTGTAAATAATGCTGTAATGAATATATAAATGCATATGTCCTTTCAAATTAGTGTTTTGGGTTTCTTTGGATAGAGCCCCAGAAGTGGAATTGATGGGTCCTTTTTGGTCTCTTGTTATACAGACTTTGTTTCAAAGTCTATTTTACCTGGTACAAGTATTGCTACCCCAGCTTTTTTGTTTGTGTTTATTTTAATTAAATGTCTTTTCCCATTCCTTTACTTTTTGTCTATATGTGTCTTTCAATCCAAAGTGAAACTCTTGTAGGCAGCTTATATATGGGTCTCATTTTCCTATCCACTCAGCCACTCTACGTCATTTGATTGAAGTATTTATTTCATTTGCATTTAAAGTAATTGTTGATAAATATGTAGTTATTGCTATTTTATTATACATGTTTTTTAATCTTTTTTTCTTCTTAAAAAACACCCTTTAACATTTTTTTGTAATACTAGTTTGATGGTGATGAAAACTTAACTTTTCTTCTTTAACTTTTTATTTTCAGGGCAACTCTTTATCTCTCCTTTGATTCTAAATGATAGTTTTGCTGGGTAGAGTAATTATGGTTGTAGGTCTTTGTTTTTCATCACTTTGAATATTTCATGCCAATATATTCTGTTGAGAAATCAGCTGAAAGTTTTGTAGGAGCTTCCATGGAGGTCACTAACTGCTTTTCTTTTGCTGCTTTTAAGATTCTCTCTTTGTCTTTACCCTTTGACATTTTAATTATGATGTGTCTTAGTGTGGACCTCTTTGGTGTCATCATTTTTGGGACTCTATGCTTCTATGCCTGTGTGTTTATTTCCTTTGCCAGGTTAAGGAAGTTTGCTATCATTATTTCTTTAAATAATCTTTCAAATCCTTCTCTCTTTCTTCTTCTGGTACCTCAGTGCTGTGAATGTTTTTATACCTGATGTTGTCTCAGAGACCCCATAAACTATCATTGTATTTTTACTGTCTTTTTGCTATTCTGAGTGGGTGTTTTCTGCTTCTTTATCTTCCAAATTGCTGTTTTAATCCTCTGTTCTATTGACTTTACTGTTGATTTCCTGTAATGTATTCATTTCAGTTATTGTATTCTTCATTTCTTATTGGTTCTTTTTTATGTTTTCTCTCTTCACTTTTAGCTTGTTATCGAAGTTCTTGCTAGATCATTGAGCATCCTTATAACCAGTGTTTTGAACTCTAAATCTGATAGGTTGCTTGTTTCCATTTTGTTTAGATTTTTTTTCCTGGAGATTTCTTCTGTTCTTTCATTCAGGACATGTTTCTTTGCCTCCTCATTTTGCTTGCCTCCCTGTGTTTGTTTGTATGTATTAGGCAGAGATGCTACATCTCCTGGTTTTGGTAGTATGGCCTTATGTAGTAGATGTCCAAAAGGGTTAAGTGGCACAGTGTTTCTGGTCACTTGAGCTGGTTGCTCCAGGTGTGTCCATTGTGTGGATTGTGTGTGCCCTCCTGTTGTAGTTGAACCTTGATTATTTTGGGTATGACAGTGGGAGGGATGAACCTTTAGGCTAATTGGTTGTGGAACTGTCTATGACTATAGTGGAGGATCTATTGTGCAAAGCCCGATTCTATGGAGCATGATTTACTTTAGTGGGACTCTTGTGCTTGCCTAATTCGCCCTTTGGGTGTATCATTTATGAAATGGTTGGGTTGGGCTTTGGTGTGATCTGAAGCTGGCCTCTAGGTGTGTTGGTTCTGGAACATTTGGGAGGGGTCCTGGTGCATGCCAAAACCAGTCACTGCCTATGCTCTGCACACAGCTACTTGGCATGAGCTACAAAGCAATCTGCAGATGGCTGCTGCTTGTGCTGGGCTTGTAGGTGCCCAGGAGAAGCTAAACTATAAACCAAGGCTAGCTACTACTAGTTTTTGGCTTGGGGCTGCTTAACAAGAGGTTCAGGGTACTCTTGAAGCAAGATGATACTTGTTTGTGGTTTGTGACACTTTGAGAGATTTTAAGGAATTTCAAAGCATGAACAAAGACAGGCTATTTATATGGAAAAACTACTGGAAATGGCTAGGATGGCCTGGTAATTTGGGTTAGGTGAGGTCTCAGGGAATCACCAGGGCAGGGTGAATAGTGTTACCTGGTTTGATGGAGACTCAGATATGGTATCTTCAGGGGGAGGGCTCAGCAAAGGAACAATGCCTTCTGCCAACATTTCTGTCTGAAAGCTGCCCACCCCCAAGCCACCCTAGCTTTCACCCCAGTGCCAGTGAATTCAGTTCCTCCTTATATACCCCTGGTGCCCTTTGAGTTGCTGCTCCAGTGCTGGAGCTCAGAGTGAATCTATCTGTGAGCAAGTCCATGTGGGCCCTTTGAGAGGAATGTCTATGACTCCTGTGGCCCTCTACCTCACTCAGCCACAATCTCTTTTGATTTTCATAGCTAAAAGTTATGGGAACTCCACTTCCTGATATTGGAATCCTGGGTAGGGGGTCTGGTGTAAGGCTGGGACCCGTAGTTCCTCAGGTTTACCTCTGCAGCAAAGGTATCCTTCTTGGTTTTAATTACCACCTGTGGGTTTGGACTAGCCTGTACTTAGTATCCACCCCTCCTGCCAGTCTTAATGCAGCTGCCTCTTTATATCCTTAGTTATAGGTCTTTTGGTCAGCTCAGCTTCAGGCGGTTCTGAATGATGGTTGTTCTGTAGTTTAGTTGTAATTTTGATGTGGTCATGAAAGGAAGCAAGCACAGAGATTACCTACTCCACCATCATGACCAAAAGCCTCCCCATTTTAGCCATTTTTAAATGTATAGTACAAAGGCATTAAATACATACTTATTGTTGTGCAACTATCATCACAATAATTTCAGACCTTTTTTCTTCTTTTTCAGAGAATTTGAAAATTCTCTGAAAATTTGTACCCATTAAACACTAACTCCCAATTTCTGCCTTCTGCTTCCCCCCAGTAATCACTATTCTGCCTTCTGTCTATATGCTTTTGACTACTATACGTACCGTATGTAACTGTAGTCATACAGATTTGCCCTTTTGTGTCAGGCTAATTTTGCTTACCGTGATGTGTTCAAATAGTCATCCATGTTGTAGCATGTGTCAGAATTTCCTTCCTTTTTAAGGTGCTCATGATTTTTATAGCAGCTAAAACAACTGACCTTAGTAAGAATGTTTAGTTAAAATTGAAGTGCTTTCCTCAAGTGAATGACAGTGGGCAGTTGAGGGTATTTGCTCAATAATCTGTCCCTGTGAGGCCAATGCCCACCTTGACAGGGCTGGGCAGTCTCCCGATGCTTGCTGCACTCTTGCCAAGGTGCTCTCTCTGCTCAGGTTCTCCACCACTGCCTCCGGCAGGGATGCAGTAAACTTCAGTAGTAATGGCCCTTCCCTTGTTAACCTCCACCTCCCCACCCCCTACCCACAGCTGTCCATCCTGAAGTGCTCAGCCTGGTCCTGCTACTCTGTTCTTCTTTAGTCTCTAATCTATTGTTGATGAACAAATGTCTTGGTCTCTTCGGCTCTTGATATTCAAAGTCAACTTCATGTCTGCTTTTGATGATGAGTTTAAACTCTCCATTCAGAATCTCATTTCCTGTCTAGGTAACTTTGTGCCCTTTCATCTTTATGGCAAGTGAAAGTGTCAGGGAGTAATAAAGAATGATACTGACAGTAATAAAGGTAGAAATGGGAAGTCAGCAAGAAAAGACCCAGGTTTAATACATATCTCCAAATGTTATCCTCTACAGTCATTTCCCTCAGCTGAGCTTTTGGTAAGGCGGAAGGTAATTCTTCTTCACCAATATGGAGCACAGCTCTTCTGTATTGATAATTAAGGGCTGGAATTGGTTTACAATCCAGTTATATGAGTTCTGATGCAGAAGGGGAGAACTGTCCCAACACAGGTAATCTCTGCATGGGGATAGCCAAAAAAGTAGTAGGAGTCAGAGCCAAGATTTCTCTCCACAAATAGTTTCTTGTGTTCTATGCCATTCAATGTGATTGCATCATTTTAGACAGGAAAGATTTTTAAATGGTTGTTACAAAACACTTACCATGGTTAAAAAAACAACAACAGCAATATCAATTCAATAGACAATTTATTTTGTGCAGTCACTTCTAGAGTCAAGTCAGTATTTCAAACTGCAAATTGAACTGTATTAGGAAGTCATGAAATCAGTTTAGAAAGTCAATATTTAATTTTTTTAATGAAATAAAATAGAAAATATTGGAGTATATCACAAGTACTAAGAATAAGTATTATTTTTTAGAAATTTGAGTTTAGCCCTGGCTGGTGTAGCTCAGTGGAATGAGCACAGGCCTGTGAACCAAAGGGTCGTGGTTCAATTCCCAGTCTGGGCACATGCTGGGGCTGCAGGCCAGGTCCCCAGTTTGGGGCATGCGAGAGGCAACCACACATTGATGTTTCTCTTCCTCTCTTTCTCCTTCCCTTCCCCTCTCTAAAAATAAATAAATAAAATCTTTAAAAAAAAAAGAAAAAAAAGAAATTTGAGTTTAGTAAGGTATATGTGTGGTGTGTATTTTACGGTGCACTTTTCGCTGAGTACAATGTACATTTTAGAGTCCCTGTGAGGGAGAAAAAGTTTGAGAAAATTGCCTTAGTTAACTGAATGAATTGATTGCAATATGGGCCTGGTCTCTGCCCTAACAAGTGTAATGTTGAATGTCTATCTAAAATGAGTTTGATTTTGGAGTGGTTGACAAAACATGAATAGCAGGACTTGTTTTACATTTTCACACATTCATTTGAATAGAAATTTGTTGTTCTTTTTTCTGTTTGAATTAATTTTATTAGAAGATTTGACTCAGGTTGTGATTATTTGTTTGGTCAATATACCCCTTTCAGAAATAGGATAGAATTATTTCTGTAATGAATAATAGATACAGTCTGGTCACTGTGAATTTAATTTTAAAAAATTACTTATAACTTAAATAGAAGATAAATATATGTACAACCAACATCTAATATTGTCTGGTATCCTCAACAATATACATACACATATATACATCTATAAATTGTGTTTCTTATTTTGAAAGATTTGTATTCATTTTATAAAGACTTTAACACTCCATATTATTATTTTGTGAATTTTAAAATACATGTACAATTTTAAAGACTTTAGTTAAATCTATAATAAATATTTATTTAACATTTATTGTATACTGCAGCCCTGGCCTATGTGGCCCAGTTGGTTGGATCATTGCCCATAGCTGAAAGGTTGCAGGTCTGACCCCTGGTCTGGGTGCATATAACCCGCAGTCTGGGTGCGTTTGGGAGGCAACCAATTGACTTTTCTTTCTCACATAGGTGTTTGCCTCTTTCCCTTCTTCTCTCTCTAAAAGCAATGGGGGGGAAATGTCCTTGGATGTGAATTAAAAATAAATAAATATGTGTATATACATATATATACATATATATACATATATATACATACATACATATATATATATATATATATATATATATATATATACTATTGTGTTTCAGGCTCAAAGACCTGGGGAAGATGAAAAGTAAAAGAGAAGGGTAATCATATATTTTTCTACTTATTTGGGGAGTTGCCTTTGCAACACAAAAGTAAAGAGGTGAATAAGAGATGATGAATAGGGAAGTACTGAGTGTAGAGTTTATTGGTAGATAGATTTAGGATTTAAAATTAGAGCATTAGGACTTAAATTTACATTAGACTTAATGTTTTGGTGTTTTTAAATTCTGTCCCAGCAGTATAGCCTGGTAAAGAACCAATAGTGGGAAAAAATCTATTTGTACCCTTAGAAGTATTTTTTAAACAAATGGCTTCCCGCACCAGAATGTGAGTTCCAGAGCACAACCATTGTGTCTGCATCTAACTTAGCATAAAAACTGGCAGAGAGTAAACATTCCATAAATATTTGTAGATTAGCTGAGTAGAGCAAGCCAAATACAAAAACCATCTTTTTGTTAATTTTAATTTTTAAATTTAGAATTAAAAAATTTATTTTGAAATATTTGATTTGCAAAAGTAGTAAAAATAGTACAAAGATTCCCATACACATTTCACCCATACTCCATAAATGTTATCATATATAACCAAAGCACCATCATCAAAAATAAAAAAAAAATTTAGATTTTTTAAATGTATTTTATTGATTATGCTATTACAGTTGTCCCATTTTCCTCCCTTCATTCCCCTCCACCCTGCACATCCTTTCCCACCCACATTCCCTTTGCCCTTAGTTCATGTCCATGGATCATACATATAAGTTTTTTGGCTTCTACATTTTCTACACTATTCTTAATCTCCCCCTGGCTATTTTCTACCTACCATTTATGCTACTTATTCTCTGTACCTTTTCCCCCCTCTCTCCCCCTCCCACTCCCCTGTTCACCTCCCCTCCATGTGCTTTCCATTTCTGTGATTCAGTTCCTATTCTAGTTGTTGGCTTAGTTTGTGTTTGTTTTAAGTTAGATTGTTAATAGCAGTGAGTTTGTTTTCATTTTACTGTTCATATTTTTATCTTCTTTTTCCTAGATAATTCTCTTTAACATTTAATGTAATAAGAGCTTGGTGATGATGAAATCCTTTAGCTTTACTATGTCTGGGAAGCACTTTATCTGCCCTCCCATTCTAAATGATAGCCTCGCTGGATAAAGTAATCTTGGATGCAGGTCCTTGCCTTTCATAACTTTGAATACTTCTTCCCAGCCCCTTTTGCCTGCAAGGTTTCTTTTGAGAAATCAGCTAGTAGTCTTATGGAAACTCCTTTTTAGGTAACTGTCTCCTTTTCTCTTGCTGCTTTTAAGATTGTCTTTTTATCTTTGATTTTGGGTAATGGAATTACGATGTGTCTTGGTGTATTCCTCCTTGGGTCCAACTTCCTTGGGACTCTGAGCTTCCTGGACTTCCTGGAAGTCTATTTCCTTTGCTAGATTGGGGAAGTTCTCCTTCATTATTTTCTCCAAAAAGTTTTCAATTTCTTGCTCTTTCTTTTCTCTTTCTGGTACCCCTATGATATGGATGTGAACGTTCAATGATGTCCCAGAGGTTCCTAAGCCTTTCCTCATTTTTATAATGCTTGTTTCTTCATTCTGTTCTACTTGAATGTTTCTTTCTTTCTTCTTCTCCAAACCATTGATTTGAGTCCCAGTTTCCTTCCTATTATTGTTGGTTCCCTGTAGATTTTTCTTTATTTCACATAATGCAACCTTCATTGCTGCCTGGGTCTTTTTAGGCTGTTGAAGTACCCAGTGAGTTCCTGGAGCATCCTGATAACCAATGTTTTGAACTGTACACCTGATAGGTTAGCTATCTCTTCATTGCTTAGTTGTATTATTTCTGGAGCTTTGAACTATTCTTTCATTTGGGCCATTTTTTTTTTTGGTCTTGGTGCACCTGTTTTATAGTAATGGGTGGAGCCTTGAGTGTGCACCAAGGCAAGGCAACTCACATTGCTGTGTTGTGATGTTGTATGTGGCAGAGGGGTCAAAGAGGGAACAGTGCAGCTTGCTCCACTCTCTGCTGGTTTTCAGTCACTTCCCCAGCTGCCCACAATCAAATTAGGTCCTTCTGGTGCTGATTCCCAGGTGGGTGAGTTTGTGTATGTTCTAGGACCCTGTTGGGTCCTAGACCCAACAATTTCCAGCAATTTCTCCTGTGAGGCTTGGAGTTTTTTCTGCCACTTCAACCCCCACAGGTGTTTTCAGTCAGAGGCTTTGAGGCTTTATTTCCCTGCAGTGGAACCCTGGTTGTGTGGCCTCTCTTGCTCCCCAGTTGTTTCTCCTGGTCTATTAGCACACAAATATGGGATCGCCCAGTCTGCAAGACACAATGTCTTGCCTGCTGCAGTCCTCCAGCCACAGCCTTGCCTCAAGTCCTCTCCACCTGGCTGCCTATCTCTGCCCTTCCTGCTGGTCTGGATGAATGTTTCTTCTTTAACAATTTGGCTGTGGGACTTTGATAGAGTTCAATTTTATGTCGTTGGTTGTTTTTTTGTTTTTAAATTTGTTGTTGTCCTTTTGGTTGTGTGAGGTGGCACAGTGTATCTACCTGTGCCTCCATATTGGCCATAAGTAGTAAAAATCAAGAAA